GTATTAAGAAATCGATTGACATATCAAAGTGAAACATGAAGATCATCTTGAAACATTTTCGTAAGCTGTCCATTTTGTCGCAAAGCTTAATTAGCTTTTATTTTATGAAAATGAATTGAATGTTTGTACACAATGATTCGAGGAGTAAAAAGATTCTTAGGTTTTGGAAGAACTTTCAGAAAAGACCTTTTAAATGGAAAAAGTCGGTATTTAGCTCGTCTAATGATTGTACTGCTTCACTATACTTTATAAAAATAACCATTTCAGGGAAAAATTTTTAAAGTCAGAAGATTAATGAATGAATGGAAGAATGAATAATAGATTGGTCGATTTCAAGTGATTTAGTCGAATTTTGTAAGATTGCAAGCCATCCATTCTGGACTTACTTCTCTAATACAATATTATCCAGACCTTAGGAAAAAGTACAAGTTGGATATTTGAGTTATGCCCTTTGAGTCTTTCAAGATTAGAGAAAATGAGTCTTAAATATAACAGTTTCAGGTCAGTTTAAAATATGTGAAATGCAATATAGCGATGAATTTATTCCTACACTCGTTTATTCTGGTCATTGTCCACCTCATCCAATCGCTTTTTTCTTTACTTTTCCTTCACTCTGCAGACAGAATGGAGCAGAAATGACGGTAAAGTGAGGATAAATAGTACGGTGAATTGCAGAATAAATGAAATGGAGATTGCTTACTGATATTTCCAATTCTCGAGAATCAATTCTCGAGATATACTATTGATGCAGTATCAGCTAACATGATAGATATTAGCATTTACATAAGATGGAATGTGGAAAGACATGAAATGTGGATATCCCACTTATTTATGACAAGCATCCATCCGTAAATTGAAGAAAAAGTATTGGAAACACTTCGATTTACCGTCTTCAGTTTTCGATAAAAACAAAAATTCTTATAAATGTTTTCACAGAAGGCGAATTCGATTTCCCGCTTTTTTTCAAACTTAACTTAAAGTGAGGTTTAGAATCGGTGACATATGCTATCTGTACGAATTTGTATACTCATTATCTTCCAATTAGCTTTCTAAATTTTTTTTAATGAATTTTCTCAAAAATTTGAAACCAGATAATGTTTTGAAGTTTTTAAAAATTTTTGAATTTGTTAGATCACGAAAATGAGAGCTAGTAGGAAAAGAGAAAAAGTGATTGCAATTATTTTCTTGCGATCTCAAATGTGGTTTTTGGAATTATATGAGAAACTGATGATAGTAATTACGTAATTGATCCTACTTGCGAGGTGATGTATTGATGAGGGTAGCCATCTAAGCCAGTTCACAAGTACATAATTCATTTCAGGTGGAACATTTCAGAATCAAAACGACTCAAAAATTCTATCGAGCAGATTTCGTTTTTGAAATTTTCTTTACTTGAAATGAACGTATGATAAAGGGAATTTAAAATGATGGTAGATCCAGAGGTATCGCTTCAAGTTAAACGGAGCATGTTTGCAGGAAGAAAGACTTGCTAAAGCATATAATTATATAAATCATACAATTTTCGATTTTCTTTTTTCAAATTCACAAATAATTTTCTTAAATTTGTTTCAATACATTAACTGTTATATTATCTACGATACTACATAACTACGAATGACCATGTAATATCTAAACAAGATACATCATGGTATCGATTTATCAGCAAGATTTTGATTGATTGTATTTCTATATCATTCTTTTGTTTCCTCATTTCAACTGATAACTCACTGTTCATTGCACTGCATTTAATCAACAAGTCATTTTGCTGCAGCTGAATTGCTTGCAATGAATATAACAATAATGAGAGTTTAAAATAAAGCTAATATTTTGAATTTCGAAAATCAAACAATTTAAAAACAACTTCTTGTATTAACGCAATCTTTTGTCAAAAAAAGATGACCAGAAGATCAAACTTAGCAGAATTTGACAAATTCCAAAAATTTATGAATCTAAAATTTCTTTGACCAACAATCGTTAACGAACTAATGGGTATCTCAAGTAGTCCAAATAAATTAAAAGAACAGTTAAACTTGCCAAATTATTATCATATGGAAATATGTAAATTTATTTGCACAAACTAACTGTATTACTGTTTCCTCAAATTGGCGAAGACTTTCCTTTTTTTTTATTGATTTATTTGTTTCATTTGATAAATTTTGTTTACGGCAAGTTTAAATGATATATTAAATTTGTATAAAATGTTTAATCAATCATTATTTAATAGAGGAAGCATACTGTATGGTTATTTTTTGGGTTATTTCAAATTTTTGTATGATGTCTACAATTATGGCTTCAAAGCACTTGCCATTACTGATCGTTATCATATCATCGTGTAATAGTCTTATCGATATACGTCATCGTTTTGAGCTTCCTCATATACCGATTCATTTAAAGGAACAAATTCTGAATGAATGTAAATCAAAACTTGTCAAGTTTTTCCGGACACATAAACAAGAGGCTAGAATTTTGCTTTAATAATAATTAAAGTTAACAATAATACTTGTGCAATATATAAATTATTGTAGAAGTGAAAAATTTTTTTTAAACTGAAATTAACTGATTGTTACCTTTCTACCGGATTACTTCTTCTTATCAGTTGAATTTAATCAATATATTTTATGATATTGATAAAAGATGTGTAAGATAACAGTTATCTATCATTTATTGTAACTTTAACGGGTAGCATACGTACGTCAATTGCGTCTTATATTTCAAACATTGGGATATGATTATCACTACTACTTATTAATAGTAATTCGACAAAAATGATTTATAATTTACATGACTTATACTAGTTGAGATAATTGATAATGATATAATTTATACAGACAATACCGGAAACAACAACAAAAATCGGAATAATAACAACAGCAACAAATGCAACGGTAGAAAATGTAGCAGCAACGATACGAGGTGTAGAAGAAACTTCACCATCAGATGATGGTCAGCAATGTCCAATGGCAGTAAATAATTGTATCTTAACAAAAACAAGTCCATTTATGGAACATTGTGAAGTGAAATGTTTAACAATTGCCGGGAAATTATCAAATGATTTACATTGTTGGAATGATGATTGCTTTGTTCGTGCGACACGTATTTGTGAGGAAAAATTCTGGCGTACGGTAAGAGCAAGAAATCGAAAAAAGAAAAAGAAACGGATGCGCTGTATACCGGAAATTAAGCATTGTTATAAATTAGCATGTTTAAAATGTCTTGGACGCGAATGTAATTTAATTTGTTATGGTGGTGGTATACAATATACCCATCTTACAAAACCACGCTGGAAAGGTTACGAAGAATATAAGAAATTTTTCCCAGAAGTAGAAGATATTCTTCATAATTTCGTTCTTGCCCCCGAGAAGACTGTCGTTATTGAGGATTATATTGAATAAAACTAACAACAATTCAATATGAATTGATAATTCGATTATTGAATAATTACTTTTAAATTATTCCAATTTGACTCATCTAATTTCATTGTATTGTCGAAATGTTACTGTCAATTTAACTGTGTAAATATTACTGTCAATTTAACTATCAGATAAGTGCTACTGCCAATAATTAATATTATTGATTTAATGCTACAATAAAATATGGACAATTTATACGGTATCAACAAAGCGATGACATTTTAAGATGCAGTATGCCGGAATCACATTGGTAGTTTCGGTCGAATTACAACAATAAATAATCGTTTTGATTGACCAGTATTTTTCGACTTCAAAACTTCAAAAAAAGTCATCCGGGATTTAGTAAATTCAAATGACAAGGAAAAAAAAGCGAAGTTTAAGAAAGAAACGAACATCGACATATAAGCATTATACATACATATATATATGCTTATGCAAGTTTTTTCCACCTACGTAAACACTAACATAAATAATAATTTTCAAAAAAGATATTATACAAAAGAAACATTTCAAAATTTTTATGGAAACAATGAAATTCTTTTTTTTTGTGACAAAGAATACAATTATGTGAAAAGGTAAGTAAAACAATTTTATACGAAATAAAAGAGCACAAATACATATAAATAATGTCTTTTATTTGTTGAAAGAAATAAATTACCCAATTAATGCATTTAATACAAGAATGTATAAATGAAAAATAAAATTAATTTAAATAAAATCATTCGTACATTCATCCATTCATTGCAACCATTGCTGTAAAAGTTAAATTTAACTATTCTGAAAAATGAAAAGGAGAAAATAAATTCGAAAAAAAACTAATAATAGTTACATTTCAACATTAATTAATAATTTATTGAAAGCATTTATTTGCATATGATTGTTACCAGAAAAGAAAACAAAAAAAAAAAAAACAAAACCAATTGATAAATAAATATTTCATAGATTATAATGAATCAGAACTCATCACACCATTATTCATTAGATTTGACATACTCTCAATTCTTGCGTTTAGATTGGCTAAACGATCTGTCACCTCTTGCATCGTTAATTGATCGCCACAAAGAATCTGCAGCAAACAGCTTTTAGCCTTCTGCAATTGATAAAAAAATTATAAATTAAAGGTAAAAAAATGACAGGAATTAATATTTGAATTGATTAAAATGAGTGGAAGGTGGGAATATTGAAGTATTAGCTGAAAAATAAATGAAACTGTCATCAAATTTTCTCAATTTTTCGTGAATTTAAGTAAATACAATCGTAAAAAAGAAAAAAAGGGAAGTTCCGACAATACTATGGGTATGATATGGGCAGTATTATAGGCAATATTATGGATATGATATGGGCAATATTATGGATATGATTAATTGTATTTTCTAAATTTATAAAAGTAAATGACAAATGAACTTGCCTGATAAAGTTCATTTCTTGGTTGCATTGCCTCATTATCACTTGTGTTATTGTTCGGACGAAGGTTTATCTCATTGGGATTTGAAAGATGATTTAGTAACGATGATATAATACTGATATTTTCCGGAATATCAGATTCTGTTTGTTGATTAAGTAAGGATCGTGTTAGAGCAGCTAAAGTTGTAGATATTAAAGCTGCCAAATAATCGTTATTAAATGATCCTGAACTATTCTCATTCACACCAGAAGTATGACATGAATCCATATATCCTGCGATTCCTGTTTTACTTTCAGCAGTTCCAGTTGTTGAATCTGAAATTTCACTTTTCATTTAGGCTTCAAACTTATCACCGATTCCAATATCACTGTTTGCATGGTAGTGTTAGATATGAATAACTTCAAGGGTACGTAACATTTTATAGGAATGAATAATGAATATATCAATTGTTTTACAATAAAACATCAATTATTCAGATTCCAGGTAAAATTCATTTAAAAATCTTCAGAATAAATCATTCATAAACTTTTTAACAACATTTATTCAAAAATAAAGAGACGTAAGGATGAAAAATTAATTTCCTTCGAAATTTCATTTTTTTTTTTCATTTTGCTTGAAATATTACAATAAAGTATGTCTTCTTTTTTTTTTTGTCCAAAAGAAAATTTTTTCTTATAAAACTATTATTATTTATTATTACATTATTATTATTATTATTATTATTATTATTGTTATTATTACTATTACCAATTATTATCATTATTAATTATTACTTATTTTATCAATATTTATTGCAAAAATCTATATTAACAAACGAACCGGAATAACTGTCGGCTCTTGCTTTTTGTGATTTGCTTGAATTTCTTGGTCTTGTAGAAACGGTAATTTGTGAAGCTTCAGATGCCACTGTTTGCAATGGTCTACTCTTCATGCATTCTGTTGCTATAAATTCTGGCTGAAACCAAAATTATTGCTAAAAATGGAAGTTAAAAAATGAATTTAAAAAATATCTTTTTTTTTAAATTAACGAAAATTAAAATTTACATAGCACAAGTCAAATGAAATAATTTAAATCATTATTATGCATTACATCGACTGGAAGGAATTGAAAAATACAGATTTTACGAGAAATGATATGAAGGATACTTTAATAAGACAGTTTGCACTGCACGATATACATTTGCCATATGCTAATTTATGCAGGAAAAAATGAAAAATAAAAAATTCTGTTGTTTACATTGTATGAACACTTACTGATGACATGGTAGCTTCTGAGCCTGAAATGAAATTATCACTTGCCTCGTCATCGTTAGATTCATTCTCATAACTATCTGCAAGTGAGAAAAAAAAATAAAGACTGGAATAAAATCAAACAAATTTTAATTTACTTAGACAATAAGAAAGAAAAAGAGGAAGAAAGGAGTATAAAAAAGATTTTGACCAATTTCAAGTTAATTCTCATTTTAAAAAAGTCTAACCTAATCTTGACTAATCTAAATTTACTTAAATGATATAAAACCAATGAACAAACCTTCTGTGAATGTTTCCTGTGATTCACCAGCATTAGGAATGCTAACTGATGCCATCACTGTATCATTTAGTGTCGGTGAAGTGTTAATTTGATTTAATGATGCAATACTTTCCGGCGGTAATTCTCGGATTTGATTTCCTTGCAAAAGTGGACATTGTCGAGATGACTGTATGGATGATTTCTGATACAATGATGTTGATGATTTTTGGCCTGATTTTAGAAGTGATTCACGGACTAATTTTGTCGATGATTCTTGACCGGGTGGTATAGGTGGTGCTTGGCGTGATTGTAATGATGATTCTCGAGCTGATTTCGTTGATGATTCCTGATTTGATGGTCCATTGTATGGGCACTGTTGAATGATGCGCATGAATTGTTGTGGAGATAAATCAAAAAGTGATACCTCCGGTATTTCAAGTGAATCTTGGACCCCTTGTGATGATTGCTGACATGATTGAAAATCTGATTCTGATACCTGTAAAATCCCCAATGGTACTCCTAGTGATTCCCATGGAATAAACTGTGCAAATGGAGGTTGTTGAGTTGATTGAACCTGTGATTGTTGAATCATTTGCTGCAATTGAATCATTTGTGTAAGCTGAGCAAGTAGCGAACTGTTTTCTGAATTTGTTCCCCTCACTTCTAGCATCGGTTGCTGAGATATTTGCCGGAACATCTGTTGAATCCTTTGCGAAACTGGTTGTTCAGATGAGATAGAAGGTTGATTAGATTGCATCTGTTGCATAATTTGCGTCGTTTCTTGTGGTATTTCCAAGGAGAATGAAGATACTCTTTGATTTGGTTGCTGGAATACCTGAGTTGATTGCGGTACCAAAGGTCGCTGAAATGACTGCATTGGTGTTTGTCGAGTTGATCGTACTTGTTGTAAAGAAGACCGTACTGGTATCTTCTGAACTGGACGTAATGTCGTTTGCTGTAAGAATGGATGTTGCTTCTGTTCTGGACATGGTTGTCGAGGTGTAGCTGAAGATTGTTGAAGAAGTTGAACGAGCAGTGGTTGTGCTTGTTGAAGCGGTTGTTGTGGTGATGATATCGGTATTTGCTTTGATAACCGTAGCAGTAGTTGTTGAGTTCCTTGAACATTTTGCTGCTGAGATCCATCTGAAGGTTGTTGTAATTGCAAGCGCTGATTGTGGTGAGATGGTTTGATGAATAAACGATTGCCTCGTGTATCAGTTTCTGCTGACTGCTGAGATGCTTGTAGAAACAATGATTCAGCTCTTCGCATATGTGACTGTTGAGATGTTATCGGAGATTCCTGCGATGGTATATTCGAATTTGTTTGTAACTGAGGAACTTGTAAGAACATTTGGGTATTGGTAGTTCCGGGGTTTACCACATTCAACATTTGCTGTGGTTGCTGCAGAGGTACTTGTAGTAACAACTGTTCTTGTGATTGCTGAGGTATTCCGAAAGATTGCTGATTAGTTTGTACGGGTAATGGTATGACGAATTGATTTTCTTCAGGATACTTTTGCTGAGATGTTTGTACTTGTTGTTGAGCTTGTTGAAGTAAATGTGGCTGTTGAATGGATGATGAAGACGGTACGAGTATTTCATGAACTCCATCTGTAAGCATGTTTTCGATGACCTCACGAGATGAATCTGTAATCGATGATCCCTTTGATGATGGTTTCTTAGATGGTTGTACATTCTGTCGATGGGAAAATCGTATCTTTAATTGTTGTGGTTGTTGATGGAAAGCTTGTTCCTGAGATACTTGTTCCTGTTGATGAGTTTCTTGAGATGGTGTTGTTGTTGTTGTTGTTGTTCGTGATGATGATTGCCCAGACATTTATTACCAATTAATTTATCTGTAGCAATAATCCCGTAATAATCGCACCGGTTATTACTAAATTGGTTGAACTGTCTCTCTTCCGTTTTGACTGTTTAATCAATTGTAATCTGAGTCGTTATTTTTCTTCTAGTCTAGTATCGAGATTCCTTTTTAAAATTTCGTAAAAAATCTCCGCAAAGAATAGGTTTAAATATCAACTTTTCTCCGACTTAATAATTTCCCGGCGGTTCGTATTTCAACAGTTTTTAGACGGTTTTTAAATGGAAATATGAAAATTTCCGTGAAAAATTCCGTCTAAACAAAAAACAGGTTTAACCATTTAATCCTGTTAGTCTTTTTACGATTTTACAATTTTCCGGTAATTCGTGTTTTGCGGTAATTTCTGGATAGTTTGAATGTAGAAATATAATAATGAAATTTCGAACAATGATAAGTAATATCAAATATTAGTAGCAGAGATTGCTAATTAATTGATAGGAGTAAAAAGAACGAAACACAAATTAGATAATAATATTGCTGCAAAAATAGGTAGAATGTAATGACTGAAGATTATTAACTTCCGACTTTGCACCTGTAATTAATAGAAACTATTATTAAAATTTGGAAAAAATATTCACAAGAAATATCCCGTTGTATAATAATAGAAATCGACAAGACAATGTACTACTGATAATAATTAAGGAATTAGCAGAGCTAATATTCAGTCCATTTTTGGCTAAATAAAACAGTTTACGTTCATTTATATCATTGCATATTATGAACTGTTGTAATCAGTGTATTCTAAGCCTAATATCATTCATATGCAATATCAATTGTAGTAATAACATATGCAATTAAAACTTTAAAAAAGAAAATCAATCTAAAAACACGAAATTTGAACTTTGCATTTTTTTTCATAGAAAAGGTAAAATTTGGACTAAAATTTGATACTAAAAAAAACATTCTTTTCACTAATCCTTTCTAATATAATCCACAAACTTTTACCCAATACAGAGAATATTTCAGAGAATTTCATATAACGAACAATAAACTTTTCAAAATGCAATTATTAAAAAGTAAAAATAAACATGAAAATAAGCATCTATAAGAAGTTGCGTTTCATTAGTAAATGGTATCGGTCAATTGTAGTCGTCCAAATATTTAGAGCTGAGACAGGATGATGACCAGACAGGTTACCATTGAGGCAATCCTTTAGATTGCATAATACTAAAGGAATGAGGTGAGATGCATATGACATCAACAACTTCTCCCTCCAATTTTTATAATTGACCTTATAATCTGACCTCTGTTATCGTCATGACAAATATCATCATCTTTAAGCATACAAATATGAACTTTTGATGACAACGATGAGCAGAAATTATTGATAAATATGAAATTAAAACAAAGTAATATGCAAATATTTTGTGGAAGATTTTATCATTTAAGTAAATAAAATAAACAATGACAACTTTTAAAAATTTTATTAAAGTTAAGTTTTTGATTCAATAATATATACAAAAGAGTTCTTTAACTTTTATTTTTTGATGAAAAGAAAGGAATTTTAAGCATTTTAAACAAATTTTCATTTTATCTTTTTCACATTGAATTTTCCACGTGAAAAATTACCGCATTGAGAATTTGTTATGAAAGTGATATTGATTTGCAAAAAAAATTTAAGAATTTTAAAATTTCACATTTGTCCCTTAGTTTTTTCCACTATATATTCATTGTAGATTTTAATTTAAACAATGATGAATTAAAAATCATTTTCAAGGAAGAGAAAGTAGGAAAGAGAGAGAGAGAGAAAATGAGAGATTGGGAAAATGGAAGGGATGAAAAAAATATTCAAGCATATTGAAGTATTAATTTACAGTAGTTTAAAATTAATTACTTTTAATATTTTTATGGATAAAAAGAGTTGGAAAAAAAAACAAAACAATCGTGACTTTACGTCTTATAATACAATCATAAATGCAAGTTACCATTGATAGATTAACAGCTGCTGTTGTATGCGACAAATGGTACCACAAATTGTGAAGGTCATTAATGATAGAACTGTTGATCGGTTGAGATAATATTACAACAATCTGTCCTCATCTTTTCACATTTCATCCATTACTGGTAATAACTAGGTTTGTGTCAACCAGCTGCTGTTAACTATTATTAATGAAAATTTTCACTTCTAATCAATTTTTTTCTTCCATCTTCAAGGCTAGACAAATTTACACATACATGCATGCAATGCATGCACTGCATGCAAATGTGATTTGAATAATTGAATTATACGGCAAAAATTATCAATTGATTTATGATACTCATCAATTTTGAAACTTTTGTTTTATCATTATTTCAATATTCATTTGTACAGTAATATAAATGATTCCATTATTTATTTGTCCTTTTAAAACTTCATTATAACTCGTAAAATCTTCAACTTGTAACTTATAGCTTGGGCAAATGCATAATGAGTAAAAGTTGCAAGAGACAATCATTAGGCTAAATAATATTAGAATGTCTTTTTATTTTCCATATAAACATGCAAACATACTTTTAATTACCATGTAGATTAGATTAATTACAAAGAAATAAATCATGTCTATGAAATATCAATGATTTAATTATTATATGAAGAAATTAATTGAAAAAAGAATGGATGAAAATAATCGGAATTAAAATATTATCAATCGAAATATGATTAAGATAATTATTGTCGATAAATCATCTTCAATCATTACTTTTTGAAACACCAATGTGGCTACTTTTCTTTGAAACTCTGAAGTGGCTATTTTAGGAACTTAACTGCGAACAATGATCGAAACAAGCAAATGACTGAAGCTATTTATGTTTAACTAAATATGAAACTTTAGATATAAATATAATGAAGTCAGTTGAGTAACCTCTATGCAGGATGACAAATAAATATTACATTCAGATGCCATCGTTAATTAAAGCTTAATCAAAAATTATTGCGAACCTTTCAATTCCATCCTTCATGCAGCTTACAACTTCCCTAACTTTTGTTTGCTATTTCTTTTGGTATGAGCATTTTTCAGTAAATATTTAGTCTTTTTCTCAAAATGTAAACCATTTGAGACAACAAATAAAATTCAATTTTATTTTTCTCATTTTTCAACAAAACAATTGTGCTATATTGTTAATGCAATTCAAGATTTATACAAATTAAAATGCACTAAATGTTGTGAAAACATTAAAAGCCGACTAATTTATAGTTCAAACAATTTGAGGAAATTTTTTTCAAAACATGAATAAATTTGGCACAATTATTACAAGTTATTAGAAATGCTAACATTGCTTAAATTTTAGTTTTCAATAACAGAAAAGTTTGTCATCTAAGTCATTTTACTATATTTCGAGTAAATCACACGAAATAGTGTAATTAGATGTTATGAACTTTTCAGTTTTTATGGTTTGATGGAATTTTGAACAAAGTGATTCTACTTAGTCCAAATGTGACACTTCAAATTCATTCAACTCTTTGATAGTATACTTTAAGAAAGAAACAATACCATCTTGAACTGAAGTTATATGACTAGTTGAAACTAATTACCATTGAATTATTAACAATACATCATTCCCTTAAAATAAAGTAGAAGAGAATTTAAAAAAGATTTTTGTAGTTATGTTAATAAAGAAAAAGGAAGATGATTTAGAAAATAAGAATTAAAAGAAATGGAATTGATAAAGATAAATTTGATTACTTTTCGCATTACTATTATGCTAAGCTTCTGCTATTTGTTGATTTTGTCGTTATTCTGAAACATTCAAATTTCTTTCTTTTAGCACTTACCTGTATGATTATGCAAAATCATGTTAAACTTATCATTGAAGAACTGCAATTCTGCAACAAGTAGGAATGCATTTTTGCAATTCCTTTTTTTTTCCTTTTTTTGCGGAATGCAGGAATGCATTTTTCACAGTACGACATTTCACCTTTCTTGCACAGCAAATAATCATTGCAAAATTATTCATAATCATGTAAGAATAGCATGAATTCTTAAAATGAAAACTTATCTAAAATATAAAATAATAAATTTGGAGTGGTACTTCCTGCCAAATACAATAGAATACGCTTTTGCTATTTTTTATGACAAAAATTCAATCATTATGGAAGTGGTTTTCAATTGATAGCTAAGTAATGAAAGAATTATTGTAGAAATAAATTCGTAAAAAAAAGTAAATAAATAAATTGAAAAATAAAAAAAAAAATAAAGTTCGGGAAAATTTGCTCAACAAATGCTCTGAGTCATCTGAATTATCTGAATTTTTCACAACAGAGAGGTAACAGTACTAAAATTACAAAAAAAAAAAGGAGAAAAAATTAATTTTTGGAACTTTGGAAAGTAAGTAATTTTTGGCATTAATGATTAGAAAATTCGCATTTGAACTATTGCGCCATTTTTCGTAAGCTGATAATATGTTGCTGCTATCACCATTTATGGTTGATTTCGTAATATCTCTACCGTATTTTTTATTTTTTTCTAGAGATGAAAATTTGCGCAAAATACAAACGATGTTTTTCTCAGGTAAAAAGCTTTTCAAAATATAAATAATAAGAGATAATTGAGGAATAAATCATACCTATGAAATATCATTAATTTAATTATTGTGTGAAGAAATTAATTGAAAAAAAGAATATGAAAATAATTAAAATTAAAATATGATCAATTGAAATGTGATTGAGATATTCAGGTACTTCGAAGATAAGCAAATGTGCTCATTAACTGATACCACGAAAATTAAAACCGAAATGTATAACAATTTCTACAATAATATGAAAATGATACAGTATCAATGCTGGATTAAAGAACATAGGATTATTCATTACTGTAAGATTAAAAATTCATTCATCTGTTAATGTTTAATGCCAACTATACACCAGTTTATATCTACATTTCATTTACTGTTATTATTGTTTTATTTACATTTCATTCACTGTTATTATTGTTTTATTTACATTCCACTCATTGTTATTATTATTTTATTTATATCTCATTCATTATTATTATTGTTTTATTTACATCTTATTCATTGTTATTATTGTTTTATTTATATTTCATTCATTGTTGTTATTGTTTTACTTACATTTTATTCATTGTTGTTATTCTTTTTTCAAATATTTATGTCATTTGTTGTAAATATTAATGTTATTGTTCAAAAGTCCCTTACTTAAATTTAATTTTATCAACCAATACTGCAGACAATTTATTATCCTGGGTAACACTATTATCAAAAATTCCTGAACATTTTCATAAAATGATATAAAATTTTAGAAATAACAAAAAAATGAGTAGTGGCTGAAATTATTTTTGATTTCTAAATGTTTTAAATGCTTCATTTTTTGATATTTTTTAAATGACATAAAAAGAAATTGGAATGATATTATAGAATGAATATGAATGTGATAATAACAATAGTAATTATGACGACAAAAACAATTGTTATTGTCGGCATTAATGTTATTAGCACATTATTTGGCATTAGTAATTATAGCAATAATTACTAGCAAAGTTTGCTATTTTCTTAAATTCGTTGTTATCAAACATCCGATGTTCACACAATCCTTCATGGTCACTCGATGTCCAATGTCAAATTCGTTAACCAAATGGCTATTCATTGACTTGCTTATAATCTTTGTGGTTTCTTTGATGAAATATTTTTCGCTTTGATAATAACGGCGATAATGATAATAATCATTATTATCAGTATTAATATTATCGGCGGATCTATTTGATATATTTGTAATTTGTTAAATGCTAGTGACAATTTTGTTGTTATTTTATTATTTCATTCCTTAATTTATTACTGTAATCCTCTTTCATATGACAGGTTCATATGATAAAATGGATATTTTATTGAGATGGAAATGCAGTTTCTCATCCTTTTTGATTTTTGATTTTGATGATAAATGCTAATTAAGTTTCTCATTTTCTCCATTAGACCATTTTAACAAACGGCTATGAGTGAAAAGATATGAGCGGCTGATAGTGCTTGTTATTACAGGTAAGCTAAAACAGGATAATGGGGTCAACAACTTAACATTTGTTTGGATGACCTCATAAACATTTTACAATATTGGCTCGTTTGACCTTTTAGGATGTTTGACGTCTCTTAGATATTTCGGAGGTAATAATGAAATAATGAAAGAATTATTATAACTTCAGTGACAAAATATGTGAAGCAATTATCTCTGATGTATGACAGCTTTTTGAAATTAGTGACTGCCACATATCCGCTGTAATTAACTGTGTAGTTTTGAACGAATTGAAAAGACTTCTTCTATCATTCATGGGCGCATTTACATAAATCATGTTATCAAAGAAGCATTCCCATTCTATTTTATTTTTTAAATCAAAATTATCAATTTATGCTAATTTATTAAAATTTAAAAATTCACCAAATTACTTGTTTCTTTCAGTTTAAAATTCAAATATTTAAGTAGAAATGATATAAAATGATTGATGTAATTTATGTCTTTTATTGAACAACATTTCAATATATTCGTGATTTATCAATGACTTGCTAATTGC